CTGGTTGCCAGGTTTCTCGTTAGGCTTCAGGCCCTCGGCTTGCAGCTTCTCTTCCTCGGCCTTCTTCTCCGCGGCCTGCTCTTCGGCCAGTCGTTGCTGCTCATCCGACTTGCGGCCGCCGCTGTACCCTGTACCGAAGTCGAGGACACCACCTGCACCGTAGGGACCGGCTGTGACGGCGACGTCGGGGCCGAGACTGACGCGGGTGCTCATGAAGGCCTTGAGGGCCTCCTGGGTGTTGATGACGCATACGCAGTCGTAAATGTCGACGCCAATCATGAAGCCAGCGCCGAGGGCGTGCACCTGGATACCGGAGGGGGGCGACCACGAGCCATCGGCGCGGCGGGCGATGAGGACGCCGGAGCCCGTGGCGCCGGAGAACTGGAAGCCCACGCGCGCCGTCGTGAAGATGGCGAGGCCCTGGGCCTTGGCGATGACTTTGGAAGGGATCTTGACGATAGCGCCAGTCCGCTTGCGAGGCGCCTTTTCCTTTTCCTTGTTCTTGGGGTCGACGGTTGTCACCTCGTGCAAGGGCTTCTCCTCAACGTGGTCGGAGGTGATGCCCTCCTCTGTGTGTCTGGTCAGTAATTGCCATCAGTGTGGTGTGATGAGAGGGGACGTACTGCAGAAGCTCTTCAGGATCTGAGCGGCCTTCTCACACTCGCGGTCCATGGTGGTGGGAAGGAAGCTCTGGGAGCCCATCTTGTTGGCGAGGGCATTGATGGGGATGGCGGCCTTGCTGCCCATCTGAGCAAGCCTGTCGCCCCAGCTGCGATGGGGCTTCTTGCCATCAGCGGCAACAGCACCGGGGGCCGCGGACGATGGAGCGTTGGTGGCGTAGGCAGGTGGCTGCTGGTGTTGGTGGTGGTGGTCACTCGCGGTGGCGGCAGCGGCGGCTTGGCCCGGAGGCGGCGCAAAGTGCGGCTGGGCGGAGTTATAGGTGGGAACAGTCTTCTCGTCGTGAACGCCCTGCTGAGAGGGACGAGGTCCAGGCAGCGGCGGCGCGGGGCCCTCGTAGTCGTTGGAGGACTTGTAGAACTGGGAAGGGTTGGACGAGGCGGCGGTCAGGCCCGTGTCGGTGTGTGTGGGGGGAGGGCCGGGAGGCGGCGGAGGGAAGTAGGGCGCATTCTGCTGGGTTGTCTGAGAGGCGGGCACGGCGGCGCCCTTCTCCGTGGGCGCGGCGTGCTGCTCGTTGGAAGGGTAGGCGGGAGGAAGGTCAGACTGCTGGGGTTGCTGGGGTTGTTGAGATGACTGGGTTGGCTGTCCGAAGCCTGCGGGGGGAAGGCCAGAGGCCGCTGGTGTCGGGTAGTAAGGCTCCTGGTTCTGGTCGGGGACCTGACCCGAGAGGGGGGGTTTCTCGGGGTTTGAAGACATTGCGATTGTGGAAGAAGTGACCGGAAAACAAAAGTGCTGTAGGTCGAAATCAGATGCTCGAGGATAAAGCCGGGAACGAGGGTATCGTGAGATTTGGTGCTTAGAGGTGGGGTATCTGGATTGGTGTTGCGGGGGACTATGCAGTTGTAGGCGATGATAGGTAGGGGGAGCCAAGTGAGGAGGGAAGTCAAGACGAGCTGATGGTCTTATACTCTTGGAGCCCACGCGGCGGCATACGAATCCACCAAAGCGAGAGCTGCAGATGGCCTGATCCTGGTGATGTGATGGTGCGGAATCAGGAAATCTGAGCTTCCAACCACATCTCAAGCTCGTGTCAGGCAGCGGCGGGAGGGAGGAGAGGGGCAGGAAGGAGGGGCGGAGGGGTGCGTTGGCAGGTGATGTCACCGCGTGGCTCATGCAAACACATGCTGTGGCACAGCCCAGAAAGACCCGCTTCTTCAGGGGGGGCAAGGGGGCTGTGCAGGGCCTTGCAGCATGTTGCAGTGAAGAGCATCGCAGCAAGGCACCTGCCTGTCTTGCCTGTGTGCCTGGAGACGAGGCTGCTGGCGGAGCCTCGTCGCTTTCGCTCTCGCAATTCGCTGCTTTGTTTATTCACATCATCAGCCTTAGACTTTCTATATCCCCCTTCCCCGGCCGATTTCGTCTTTGCCTCCCTTCCCCGGCCAATTTCTTGCTTCGTCCATCTTCTTCATCGCGTCAGACATGTGATTTGCTTGGTAAAGATTTTGGCTTTGTCATTAGGCTATTGTCTAACGCTTGATCCAACAGACCAAACACGGCGACACCAACTCTCGAGGATTCTCATCCACCTCGCATCAGACTCGATCATCTACCATCCGATCTTGAAGCCGCCGGGCAGCAGCCTCTGGAAGACGCGCATGGGGTCGTACTTGCGCGAGATGTCGAGCAGCTTCTTGGCGCTGGCGGCGCCGTAGCCGGGGAAGACCTCCTGGAACGCGGCAGCCTCGCCCATGTAGTTGAAGGCGTCGAAGAGACCGGCCGCCTTGGTCGCGTCGTTGATGGCCTTGGTCGTGCTCTCGACCCACCTGTTGACGGCGGCCTCGTACTTGGCCGAGCGCCACTCGACGACCTCGGCCCACGCCATGAGCGTGCCCTTGTTCTGAACGTCGATGCCAAGCGCGTTGCCGCCGGGGTTGGCGCGCGCCGACGCCGACTGCCACAGCGGCGTGATGGGCTGCCAGTTGATCGACACGAGCACGAGGTCCTCGAGCGGCACGGACGCGTACAGCGACGGCAGCTGGCTGATGAAGACGTCGTGCGAGATCTGGATGCCCTCGAGGAGCTCGTTGTAGTTCTTGCCCACGGTCGAGCCCGCGACGAAGACGTCGTTGATCTGGTCGACGACCAGACCGCCGACCTCGACGGCAAAGTCGGCCACCGTCTTGAACGCGAGCGTGTTGGCAATGGCAGGGATGGCGAAGAACGGCTCAAAGCACGCCGGGCGCGTCTCCGTCTCGCTGTCGTAGAAGAGAATCGCCGAGCCCACGCTGTTCTCGGCGTCCGAGGGCACCACCATGGGCACAATGTGCGACAGCGGGTCCGTGTTGAAGGCCGAGTAGTTGGCGATGGCCTGGAGGAACGCGTCAATGTCGTCGCCGCCCACTGTGTAGGCGCCGGCGAAGACGCGCTTCGAGGGGAACGTGCGCAGCGTGAACTTGGTCACGATGCCAAAGTTGTTGCTGCCGCCCTTGAGGGCCCAGAAGAGATCCGTGTTCTCCGACGCCGACGCCTTGACGACGCGGCCGCTCGACAGCACGACCTCGTAGTCGAGCACGTTGTCGGCGGCCCAGCCGGCCTGGTTGCCGTAGAAGCTGACACCGCCGGCGAGGAGGAGACCAGGCACACCGACGGGCGCGAGACGACCGCCAGCGACGGCCACGTCGTACTGCTCGAGGTACTTGTAGACGGCACCCCACTTGTAGCCGGGACCGACCTGGACGGACTTGCGGTCCGAGGAGACGGCGAGGGTCGTGAGGTTGGACAGGACCATGAGGACGCCGTCGTCGATGCTGTTGAAGCCCTTGATCGCAGTGTGGGCGCCGCCGCGGACGGCGAACTTGGTCTGGGTCAGACGGCTGTTGAGGATGCCGGCGGACACGTCCTCGGCGTTGGCGGGGCGGAAGATGCACTTGGGGTTCATGAGCTGCGTGTTGGACCAGAAGGCCTTGTTCTCGGCCTCGTAGACGGCGTCGCCCGGGTAGAACACCTTGGCCGGGTGCACGAGCTTGAGGGCCGCGCAGCCGAGGAAGGAGAGGGTGCGGGGACCGATGTCTGCCTCGCGCTCGTAGTGGACGGCGGGCGTGACACCGGCGAGGGCCGCCGCGGCGGCGTAGCCCAGGACCATCAGAGACTTCATGTTTCCGAGCATGTCTGCTGCCGCTGTTGCTGCTGCTTGTCGGTGGGGGGTGCGGAAGAAGAGGAGGCGAGGCGCGAGACGCGGCTGGACGATCGGAGCAAGCGTTTGCTTCGGTCAAGGGGGGCGAGATGATGGACAAGGACGAGACAGGAAGTTGAACTCGATGTCTCACACGCTCACACACACTCTTCCTGACGCATGGCAAGAGGCATCTCGGAACCTGGGGTGTGACATGCGTCTTAAAGGGAATCCTACGGCCCTTTCCTCAGACGAGCCAATTACTACATCGAGTACAGAATATTGACTGCAGGAAGCACCGGAGATGAGGAGATCGTGTGCCTTGGCCGGATTCCAGGAACAACGCCGATGTTGCGGACTTAACCAGCACCAACTGGCGTGGCGTACCATGTATGCCGCCGAACCTGTAGTATTGATGATTGGGGGGGGGCATGGCCTCTGCAGGGGCCTGGCAGTATTCTGCCCTCGTGGAGAGCTTATTGCTTATAGCGCGGAAGGCCGCAGCAGCAGCGCAGCAAAGGACTGTGAGGTATTCGTACCATGACAGGGTATGCAGCCCAGGTACTGTACATGGTACGTGGCCCCCCTGGATGGCCCAGGCTTCTTCTGCGCCGGCTGCATGTGATGATTGCGACCTGCAGCCCCATGTTCTTGTCATGCTTCTGCAAGGAGAACGCGGTGGGCAGGGGAGTGTCGAGGCCATGGACGGCCGACCTGCCGAGTTGGTAGGTCCATGGTCGGTCGACGGCCTTCGCAGAACCCCCGAGGCACTCGAAAGAAGCACCATTGATCAATGGATTCTTCGGTAGCGGGGTTCATCTTGACACTTGAGTTGGATGGTGTTTTGTCAGCCGATGGTCTTTGGCTTCATTGGCTGTTGGGGGTTGATCGATTTTGAAGAGGTTGATGGCTCATGTTTATCTAGGCCTCGACACCCCAATCACGCAGGTATGAATCGCCGCATCTCCAACCCGGCTCATAGATCTTTATGTGTATCTGTGGATAGCTATCTGTCTCCGCCGATGAGGTATCTATGCTATACAGTTATGTGTACGCGTAGGAGGACAGACGTGGGCAGAGGGGGAACGGGGGAGGGGTAGGAGCGCTAGAGCGCGCAGGGGGCGGGAGGTATAAGACGTTGACGGAGAGATAGGCCGCTGGCCTCAGCCTCCAGGGGGACGGCCTACTGAGATGGATGGAAACAGTTGGGTGGACATACGGGCTGTGGGAGCTGACAAGGAGTAGGGCGCAAAGGTGATGCGGGAGTGACGGTATCGACGGCGAGGGGATAGGTAATGTGAGCAAGTGGCTAGTAACACATCCAAA